CCCCGCAGTCAGCAGGGACACCCCCAACTAGACCAGGTTGCCCAGGGCCTCGTCGAGCCTCTCCTTGAATATCTCCAGGGAAGGGGCCTCAGCCACCTCCCTGGGCAACCTGTTCCAGTGCTCCACCACCCTCACAGTGAAGAACCCTCTCCTCATCTCCAGTCTAAATCTGTTCCCCTCCAGCTTGAAGCCATTGCCCCTCGTCCTGTCACTGCAGGCCTTTCTAAACAGGTTCTCCCCAGCCTTCCTGTAGGCTCCCTTCAGGTACTGGAAGGCTGCTATTAGGTCTCCCCGGAGCCTCCTCTTCTCCAGGCTGAACAACCCCAGCTCCCTCAGCCTGTCCTCGTAGCAGAGGTGCTCCATCCCCCTGATCATCCTTGTGGCCCTCCTCTGGACCCTCTCCATCAGGTCCATGTCCTTCTTATATTGAGGGCTCCAGACCTGCACACAATACTCCAGGTGAGGTCTCACCAGAGTAAAGTGGCAGAATCACCTCTCTGGACCTGCTGGCAATGCATCTTTTGATGCAGCCCAGGATGCAATTGGCCTTCTGGGCTGCAGCTGCACACTGCCTGCTCATGTCCAGCTTCTCATCCACCATATCGACCCCAAACCTGGTGCTGAGGCATCTGCTACGCAGCTGCTGCGTGGGGAGAGGGGGTTCCCTCTTTTCCCCTCCCAACCTCACCTTGCCCTGCGGCCTTATAGGCCCCAACAAAGCCACGCTGCTTCCCCCACCCCGGGGCTGCCGGCCCTCGCCTCCCTCACCCTTCTGCCTACCGAAACCGGCTTCCCCAGCCCCGAGGGCGGCGGGAGGGTTTCCCCCGACCAGGGTCTCCCGCCGGCTGCCTGCTTAAGCAGGGTAGGGCCGGGCCTGGTCGCTCCGGCTCCGGGTCCCGTTACCGACCAGGCCGCAACCCCACGCTGTTGCCATAGCAACGGAGCCAAGGGCAGGAGAAGGGCAGGGCCGCGCACGCGCCGCGCGGCGGCGGGGCGGAGCTCGCGCCCTTCCCCTCAGCGCCCGCCGCCATGTTGGTTCCCCTCAGCCGCTCCCGGCGTCTCCCGGCAGCGGGAGCCTCCCTTTTTCCCGCAGAAATCCCGTCCCCTCCTCGGGGTTGTGGGAACGGAGCGACTCCTCATCCCGCTCCAGGCTGGGGAGGAGGAGGGCAGCTACGGGGAAAGAGCTCTACGCGACGGCGGGGCGTCTCCTCACGGCCTCTCCCCGGCTCCACCCCGGCTGTGAGGGGAAGCAGGGTTGTACCAGCTGGGAGTGCTCTTTACAAGTAGCATCGCACTCACTCAGGTGATTTTTATTGAGGTATAAAACTTCACCCCACCCTTGCGCAGGAGGCTGCTTTCCCCTCTCCCCCCCTCCCAACAAATCCATCGCCAAAACACTTGTTATCTCCAGCGCTCACACATTTATTCGTATTTCATCTCCCACTGCTCCGTACAACATCACAGACAGAGGTGCAGTACGTACCCTGGTGTATTTATTACAAAGAGACATGATACTGTCACCACAGAATGTAAGCTAACAGGAGAAAACGAGTTTTTTTACAAATTGGCTTTATCAACAGATTTATTTTTGTGACTGCTGTTGGAGATACAAGGGGTTCGAGTGTAATATAACAGCGACAATTTACACAGAAGGGTTTTAACACCTCATCGAGGAGGATGGGGGCTTTCCAGATTTAAATGTTTTTAAATTTCTGTGGGGAATGATATTGGAGGAATCAGAGCTAGATCATCCACTTTAACTAAAAGCATTAGAACACCAAGGTTTAATTTTCACAATATGCATTTAAATGTTACATTTAAATGTTATTAAGAAGAACACTGTAAATAAAGTTACAAAATATAGTAATCCGAGAGTCTGAAAATGTATAGTAAAAATAGGGAGCCTGTGTCTTCATTAACAATGAATAAATATAACTTTTAAATAGCTTGCAACATACCAAATACTTATCTCATGCCTTAAATAAAAAAAATAGATGTTTATATCTCTCTCAATATTTTAGAAGTCATTTAGTGCTACTGGAAGCTTCTAAATTACAAAGCTGGAGGCTGACAAATATACAGGATAGAAAATGGCAGCAAAGCATTCACGACACTATCTTACAGACCCGGCCTCCAGGTTCTGCCCGGGGCCTAACAGAAACTAGTTCAGACTTTGTGGTTTTGGGCAACGGCAGCAAAAAGGAGTCACCAATTTCAGGACGGAGCTGACAGCCGAGGGGAACATGAAGGGATTGTACACTACTATATCCCCTAAAAACTGGGATATAGTAGTGTCAATCAGAAAGAACCAAACCCAATCATTTAGGCTGCCAGCTTCAACACAGTGTACCTTACACAAATTAGATATAGGGCAATTCTCTAATACCATGTATTATTATTATTTTTTTTTTTTTCCTCAAGAACCCCTCGATATGAGGTTTGTAGCTGCAGTACAGAAGCTACCAGCAGGAGCAAGATTTCAGTCATCTTTCCATTACTCCTTGGGCTTCACCACGTACTCCCGAAACATGGAATACAGCACACCTGAAAGACAAATATAAACACAGTTAGAGAACTGCATTAAATGGGGAATAATGGTTTTCAAAATCTGAACAGTAAGATATTATCAGCAATAATCCTCAGCAATAATGTTTTCCTTCCTCTTCTGCTCTATATTTTTTAATAACGGTGATGAACGCTACAAAATTCTTCATATACAGAGAAAATAGACAGAAAACACACTGGATATGAAAATGCAGATCCCCAGCCAATTCTAGTTTACTTTGCAGCCAAGGTCAAGTTTTTCTGTTGTACCTTTTGGGAATACAGTACAGACAAGACAGTGTTTCATGGAATATTCCAGGCCTGAAAAAATAATATCATAGGCTATGCAAGCTGTTTTTCCAATGTCTTAAATTCAGAAACAGCAATAACATCAGATAAGTCATGGTTTTTTGGGTTTTTTTCGATGTTGTTTGCCTCTAATTTAAAGACCTGCAGGACCCCACATACTTCCCACATCTAAAAGTAGTTGAAACTTCTACTCTTCAAGGTAGTGGAGTTTGATATTGAATATATTACTCTGGAAAGGCTGAGCTAACACCAGTAATGAGCTTAAACATCCTGAAATATAATGGCCTGGACACTTCCACCCTGAGGATATTCTGTGTTACCCACTAGGGGAAGAGATGCCAGAGGTTCTCCGGGGTTTGCCGGTGCTGAGGACATCCTCTCCTGTTCAGTACCTACCACACGTGATGGCTCCCACCACGAAGCCCTGGGCTGCCACGCGCATGTGAATCAGGTGAAGTGACATTTTCATGTCACCCCTGTGCTTCAGTCTGTACAGCCCGTAGCCAACCACCACGGCGAAGCCGGCCATCCCTGCAAGGCAAGGAAAGGGACATCCTCATGAGTCCGGATCCCAGTCATCCAGCTGTGTGAAGTGACCCGCCCCACACACCTCAAAACAAGATATCCTGGGAATAATCATGTTTTGATCCAATCCCTCTGGTTTTGTGTAGATGGCAAGTCCTGGCCTGGCTGTGGCTTTCACTCGAGTGCCACCTCGTTTAACACCCAACTCAGCGCTGAGAAGAGCGAGAGATTTCCACTAGTGTTAAAATGCCACAGCAGCTGCTCGAGGCGTCAGGAGTTTCTTGCATATTTTTCAGAAAGTGCAAGTTCTGCTTGCACCCTCTTTCCTGGAAGGAAGCTCGTGTGGCTGCAGCTGGGACACTCGGTGTGTGAATACATCCTGACGTACGTACCGGTTGCTATTTTGGGTACTGTCCCGTTTGGATGGTTTTCACCGGGACAGGACAAGTCATACGTTCCTCATCCCGTGCTGTGGGGAGAGGGGTTCAGCGAGGTCTCTCTCGCAAGGCAGGAGTTCACTTTTAGTCCTTCAAGAGACCACGCTGATGCTTTCAGTGAATACAGAGCAGCCATGCACAGAATTCCCCAATTCCATCCGCTGCATTCCATACTAGGATGATTATTTACAATAATTCAAAAGAGGCTGCCAAGTTTTAAGTGGTGTGTATATTTTACTGCCGAGAGCCCAGATGGCTCATCTCCCTGCACAGGGGTATCACCACTTCCACTTGTGGAGCTGTAAAAAACCCTCACTTCACTGGCGTGCAATCCATGTGGCAGCTTCATTAAATATCAATTAAGAGGTTTAGAGCCTTCAAACCAGCTCTGACACAGGTTGGAGGTAAGTTCTGCCAACCTGCCTGGGAGAACCCCAGCTCGTGGAGTTCGTAGTACGCTCTCGTGAGCTGGAGAGCAAAGTCCTGTGACCAGGGAAAGCAGTGACAGATTTCTGTTGGCAAAGGCTGGGGACAGTTCACCCCAGGTGACCCCACCGCTCTCCATTTAAGGCGGCTGGAAATCAAAACGTGTCTGGCCTCAGAGACGGTTCCCCATCGGAGGAAAGTTCTCAGGACAACCAGGACTGATCCTCTCTCTCCCCTCAAGAGGTTTTTTCAGATCTTGGCAGAGAGGCTGAGAGCTTCATCAACCTCCTCAAGCCGGGGTACCACAAAACCCACTAAAAAAATTATCTATTTTAACCAAAGGGATGGCAGCAGAGAAGGGTAAAATGTTTAGCACTTGCGTTGTTTTTTGAGACTTGTGGTTTGTATTTTGTTTGCTTTACAGTCACTTTGCACTGATCCCATATTTCCAGTAACTCCAGAACGGCTGCAAAAAACAGTCCTTACCACCTAATGGGATCACTCAAACATGGTTTTTAATCTTTTTTTTCCTTTGTAATTGTAGATTCTGAGTATTCTATTTAAGATAACAGGCCTCGCCGCTTGATCCCAGGCAGGAATCACCGCTCAGAAAACCTACTCGAGGAAGTAATTTCAAAATAGTTTCCTGTTCACAGGACAACATTTCTTCTCTCCGGGAAGAGACCAAACTACGGAACCCCATTTCTTGATCTTTAAACTTACCAATGGGTACAAATGGCGTCTCTTTAAATTTTCTCAACAGCTTCGATGTCTGGCTGGTGTCGCTCTCATACTCGGAGAAAACGGATTCCTGACCGGACGACATGGTGGCTGCAAAGACAGAGAGTCTCTCTTCAGGTTTTAGAAACACCAAGTTAAGAGAATTTTTAGAAAAAGAAAATCCCTGCAAATTCCACCAGTCGTGAGTGTCCTTGTAGCGAGGTACAAGGCCGAGAGCTAGACTTGAGCTGATGGGCAACCTACAGATGATTTAATTCAAGTGAAGTCACAGAATTAGGGAATGATATGGAGTTGGAAGGGACCTCTGGAGATCATCTCCTCCAACCCCCTGCCAGAGCAGGTCCCACAGGAACGTGTCCAGGTGGGTTTTGAGTATCTCCAGAGACGGAGACTCCACCACCTCCCTGGGCAGCCTCTGCCAGGGCTCTGCCACCCTCACAGGAAAGAAATTCCTCCTCACGTTTAGGAAATCTTGGGAAGCGAGATCGTTGTGCACTAGAACGCGCAAGGAGAGCAGAGAGTGGGGAAAAAAACCCACAAAAACAGCAAAACAACAAATCCCTGCCATCGTTTTCCCACCTTTACAGCTCTGCTTGCTGCCCGCCCGGCTTTTTCTGCCTCCCACCTTCCTCTGCCACCACTTGGCTTTCACTGGCTATTCCTTAACAGCTGCGCTGACCTCAGAGAACTTCATTCCTCCCCCTTCCCTCCCTGCCAGTGCCGGCACCCGGAGCACGCTGGGTGGAAAGCGGGAGAGGCTGCGGAAGGTCAGCCCGGCCCGGCACCTCCTCGGGCTGATCCCACCTCAATCACCACCCCAGCAGAGCTCCAAACTCCCCTTGGAGAGTAAAACCTCAGCTTCTGAGGAGCTGGGGTGAGCCTGGAAGCCCTGGAGAGGCACAGACTTGTGCTGTGGCAGGAAGAGTGGAGCTTCCCGTGGCAGCACAGGTGATTTCTCACCTGCCTCCAAGGATTCTGCCCTCAGCATCACCCACCCAACCCCCAAAACCTGCCCGCTTGTCCTGCTGTCCCCCCGGCACAGGTGACACCGAGACCTGCTCCTTCTCTGGTGGCCTTCTCCGGCGTCATCCTTCAGTCAGTGCCTCCTTCTACCAGCACAACTACCTCGGCAACATCACAAAGGTCTCGGCTAGAGGAAAAAAAAACTCGACTGGTTTTGTTCCAGCTTTGCCATCAAGGCAATCAGCCTCACAGAGAAGCACTCCAAGCTTTTGAAATACGGCAAGAGGAATTTAATTTAAGGGGGGATGCATCCAAAAAGATGTATCTCCACAGGCGGCCGAGTTCCCTGGTTACACACATCCCTTTCAGCTGCCTGACTTGCTTTTTTGTTTCTTAAAACTCAACACACCAACCGTTTCCTCCGGAGGATTTGGTCCCTCTGCGCCTTCTACCATTACCCTTATTTGCTAAATATATTCTCTCCTGACATGGGGAGAAGGAAAGGCGAGAGCGTCACTCAGAGAGGGGGAGACAACCCGCGGGGAGCCCTGCACGGCAAAAAGCCACGGAGGAGAGAACCCGCTTCTCCACCGACCTTCAGCTCTGACACAGGTGGGGAAGTGACCCATCTCCGGGCGAGGGGGCGGCCGCGGGGCCTCACATCCCGCCTTCCCCCCGCAACCCACACCGGGGGCCTGCACCCCCCACAGCGGCCTTCTGCCCTACGCCAGGCCCCGGCGCCTCAGACCCACGCTGGGCCTCCACCCCTCCGTCTGCCCCGGCCGCTTCCGACCCGCGCTAGGCCTCTGCCCCTCGCTCTGCCGCTTCATCCTCATCCTCCTCCTCCTCCTTCTCCTCTCCCCGATCCCGGTTCCCCCCGACCGCCGCCGCTGCCCCTCACCGTTCGCGATACCGGCCGGCGTCTGCCGCTCCTGGCCCCGCCCCCCGCATCTTATTGGGCCGGTTTCGCTCCGCCCCCTCCGTCCCGGGCGCCCGGGAACTACAGCTCCCAGCCCGCCGCGCGGCAAGCCCCAGCCAATCCTAGAGCTCGCACGCTGACGCCACTTCCTTATATGGTCGGGGAGGCGGGACAGGGTGTGACGTCACTTAGGGGTGGAGCAGGGGGGGCTCCCTGCATTGCGGCGGGGGAGAGTCACGGGGGCAGGCGCGGTCCGCCCCGCCGCCAGGGGGCGCTGTGGGACGGAACCCGGAAGCGGGGGGGAGGGCTGGATAAGGCCCTGCCTTATTTCACCGGTAACTTGGCGGCGTTTCGCTTCAAAATCATCTCATGTGGGTGTAAATTCACGCTTTGCCATCAGGTGGACGCTCTTTTGCAGGGGGCAAAGTCAGAGTCTGGCTTTCCCTTGGCCTGATTTTCCTGCTGCTTAATTCATAGAATCATAGAATGGTCTAGGTTGGAAGAGACCCTTGGGATCATCGAGTCCAACCATCTCCCCTACTCTACAAAGTCCTCCCCTACACCATGTCCCTCAGCACTGCATCTAAACGGCCCTTAAACACAGCCAGGGATGGGGACTCCACCCCCTCCCTGGGCAGCCTGTTCCAATGCCCGACCACTCTTACGGTGAAAAATTCTTTCCTAATGTTCAATCTAAACCTCCCCTGTTGGAGCTTGAAGCCGTTCCCTCTCGTTCTGTCACTAATTACCTGTGAGAAGAGACCAGCACCAACCTCTCTACAGTGTCCTTTCACGAAGTTGTAGAGAGTGATGAGGTCTCCCCTCAGCCTCCTCTTCCTCACACTAAACAGTCCCAACTCCCTCAGCCGCTCCTCATACGATTTGTTTTCCAGCCCCCTCACCAGCTTCGTTGCCTCCTCTGCACTCGCTCCAGCACCTCCAGATCTCTCTTGGATTGAGGTGCCCAAAACTGGACACAACACTCGAGGTGGGGCCTCCCCCGTGCTGAGTACAGGGGCACAATCACCTCCCTACTTCTGCTGGTCACACTATTTTTGCTGGCCACACTATTTTTGATACAAGCCAGAATGCCATTGGCTTTGAATTGTTCTGTTGACTATTTTTCCCTGAATCTCAGCTTTCGAGCAGAGTTTGTCTGCGAAATAGTGGATTTTGAGGCCCCAAGACAACCTGGAAATTGCCAGGAAGAGCCTCTAGAGCCTTGAAGATCCCTAAAACCTTCCCCTAAACCCGGGGCGGTGCAAAACTGCAAAAAAAAACACCAAAAAACCCTCCTTTTCTCCAAAAACCCTGCCCAGTTTTGTGTTTGTGACTCCCCATCTCCGAGCTGCTGCTCTGCAGCTGAGATGTGGCATTTTTGGCAGCATAAAAGAAAGTAGCTTAGATAACTGTTTGTTAGAATCCTTGTGTCTCTCCCTAAATGTGCTTCCCATTACTGGTAATCTGGTTACTTTAATTGCCAAAGCCATTAAGGCTCTGCACAGTCTGAAAGAAAAAGAATCTATGCAATTACCAGCTCCCGAATTGAGTTAAAATCTTGTAATAAATTACAATGAAAGCTACTTTCTCCAGTGGCTCTCAGAGGCACATTTAATTCCCCGCAGCTCCCGCGCGATATGTGCTTCAGGGGAGAAACTCAATTAAAACCAAAAAACTTACTTCATTTTAATTGCTGGGCTAATGAAATTGCTGTCACCTGTAGTGTCTGTGTGTGTGTGTGTCTGGTGTTGGCTTTGTGAGCTCCTTCTTGCTCTCTCCTAATGTGTGTGTCGCCCACATATATTTATTATAGGATATCTTTTAAATGCAGGTGTATGTGTGTACCAGCTGATGGTAGTGAACCTGGAAATGAGTGAAAATAATATATTTCTCTCTGTGGATCCACCTGCCACGGGGCAGGTTGGGTGTGGAGCCGTGACCATCGTTGCTGCTCTGTTCTCTCATTTTTAGCAGGGCATTTTGGAGCTCATAAACCATGGCACGTAGTACAGGGGATGGTCTTGGCACAGTCAGGGTGTTCTCCGTGGCCCCGTTTAGTGGAGAGGTGAGGAAAAGGAGCCTGAAGGTGGCCGCTCTACACGGTGGTGATCTAAAACTTCTCCAATAAACCACTTTCTCAGAGACACCTTTGCCAGGTGAGTGAAGGGCTGTGCCATGAAGCTGTCCCCAAAACGTCCCTGTGTCAGTGCCAGGAGCCTGCCATCTCTGCTGTGGTTGATCTCTGTTTGCACGTTCAACCACAGCAATAAGCTCCTTATTCTGGTACCAATTCCAAAACTTCACTGCTGCCTGAAAAGGATTGTCCCCGTGGAGCTGCCAGTGCCTGCTGGCCCCAGCCGTGCCCCATTTCTGCTCTTGCAGGGGGTAAGGTTCCTGCAGCATCCAAGTAGCACGTGGCTTATTCAGATTTCCTGGAAAAGATGCAAATTTCTACGTCTGTGTCTCAACCTCGGGAGCCTCTCAGCACAGACAAGCAGGTCCAATCCTGCCAGGGGGAGCTGGGAGTGCTCAGGGTAGACATCATCTTAATACCCATCTGTCAGGCAACGGCAGATGTTTCCATTAATTGTTAAAAAGCAGAATGTCAAGAGGAAACTTGTTGCCAGATCTGGGGTTATGGTGCAGCAAACCCAGAATCAACAGAGACAAAGAAATTAGGGACTTGTTTGGGAGGAGATGGGGTGGAGGAAAGGGAAGATGGAGGGAGGAAAAGCGTGTGTGGAAAAATGGAGAGGAAAAGGGCCAAAAGGAACCAGTTAAGTTTAAGCAAATCCCTGGTCTGTGTCCTTGTCTGGGCGATCCTGGTCTGGCACATTCCAGGAAAATTCTCCTTCAGGCTGTTTTGTGGGTGGTGTCAGCACCCAGCTTGTGCGTGCTGGGTGCACGGGATCCACCAATGGTCGTCACGTTGTGCTGACCTGGGTCCTTGGTCCCAATGGCTCTGTCCATACCTAATGTGGTGCCTGACCTGAGCTGCACAAGAGCAGGCTGTGTTTCTGAAGGAGGGGTGCCCTGTGGCACCCGTGGCAGAAGGCACTGCAGTCCTGATGGGTATCTCAAGTGACAAAGCTCAGCTCTGGGTGCAGGCACCAGTTATAAACCTTGTAGAGGAACACATGGGTGATGACAGGACTGAGATGATTCCTCCAGTGCTATCACCCGCTGATCAACACGAGGAAAGAGAAAACAAAAGCAGGGAGGTCACTCTGAGCTCACATTTCCTGTCCATCCTCTTACACAAGTGAAAGAGGTTTCCAAAAGCCTGATTCAAACCTCTGGCAGGATGGGAGCTGCCCGCGGGGGAAAAGAAGCTTCTGTAAGTGCGTTTTTTCTGCTTCTTGCATGTAGACAAAGCTGTATGAGAAACCTGGAGAAGATCTTTTTTTCTTCTTGAAAGTCAGCCAGTTTATAAGCACCAGTGCTCCGGTGGGCTTGGGGTTAATTTTTGAGCTCAGCCCACGTTGCATTCACCAGTTCTGCACTATGAGCTACGGGATGGGGATGAGAATGTCAGTGCCAGTGTGATAGAGAGGGGGGAAGGCTGGGCAGAGGGAGGAAAGGCATCTCAGTGGGCTGGAAGAAATGGAAATTTTGAGGATGGATCGTCCTGATGTGAGTGCAGAGAGTGTGTGTGTGTGGGGAAGGTGTTTAGGGGTCTGGCTGGGTGTTGCTGCTATCAAAAGGGTGGGCAGCTTCCATTTCTTCTCGAAGGCATACAGTTAGAATTGTATATGGCTAAGGATAAATTTCCTTTAAAATATGAAACAGGAAAAAAAAAACCAACCCAAACTTATTCCTAGAAAAGGCTTTTTCTGGCACTCTCCGCTGGCAGATGGCTGCTCTCCACGGCTGCTCTGTCTGAAGTGCCCTACAGCACTGAGGAAAGAACTGTTAGACAGCAAGAAAACATTTCAATCCAGCCCAACCCAAATTTTCTTTTCTTTTCAGCTGTCTGGAATTCCCTGGAATTGGTATTTTAGCATTTTTGGAGATGGGACCGCAACAGGTACGTCCACAGCTACCCTCCTTATGGCTGCCCACCCACAGGCATCCTCAGCACCCCCCTCCAAACCTGGGGTGCTTTGCTTAACCTGCTGGGGGTGGAGGGGCTCCCCTGTCCCGGGGTGTTCCTGGTTTGCTGTCAGAGCCTGGAGATTAGTCTTGATTTTTAAAACTCACATTAACATTGGTGGTACAGGTGGGAGGTGGCTCAGGCAGATCCACTGGGAGACAGAGAGAGTTTTGTCCAGCTTGAATGGCTTTTGAAAGATGAAACCCTTGTAGTGCTCGCGTGTGTGGATTTTTTTTTTTCTGAAAATCAGCCTCCAAAAATAGAAAGCTCTCAATTTCCTGAAATCTGGGCTGCAGTTGTCTAAACACTGACGCCAGCTTCCAGTCACGGTAAGAGGCCAACCACATCACCCTCGCCCTCCTCGGTCAGCAGGGTTTCAACACACGCTTGAGCTCATGCAGGATCAACTCTAGCAATATCCTTCCAGCTAAATCTCTACCTCTAGCCCTGATTTGGGAGTTGATTTGGGTGCCTACATGTCCTTACCTTGGATAAGGCTTTGAGCAACCTGGTCTAGTGGAATGGATCCCTGCCCACAGCAGGGGGATTGGAACTGGGTGATCTTTAACGTCCCTTCCAACCCAAACCATTCTATGACTCTTTATTTTCCACTTGTATTAATACACTTTTCAAGAATCCATGTCTTGGTGTCCTAGAGTTGGCACAGAGAGGAATCAATATCCTACCAGGAGCAGTGAGATGTTCAGCATTTCACTTTTGGGAGCAGCCCCACCAACGTAAAGGTGCTGGTGGCAGGTTCTACTTCACTTAGAACCGAGCTGCCACTTTCTCAGTAGTGACCCAGGAGAATGTAAAGCAGCTGATGGTGAGGTGTTGTGGTGGATCTCGCATAATTCAGGGCAGAAACTGCCTCAAAAGCTTGCAGTGGTGTCAGGAGGAAGTGACGAGTTGTGTCAGAGGAAACCATGCTCCTTTACCTTCGAGTTTTAACGTGTCGCAATAAAGAAACCAGAACTATTTTTTTTTCTGTGTGTATGGGGACAGCTGTCCCCGTGGTGCAGGCAAAGGCCAAGGAGGGCAGGACACAAAACACTTACCAGAAGGTGGCAGAAATGTAAACCTATGAACTAGTGTGATGTTTGTCTTTCTTGAGTGGAGCAACGTTTTGATCCCCTTTGCTTGTCATAGAATCATAGAATCGTCTAGGTTGGAAGGGACCTTAAAGATCATCTAGTCCAACCATCAACCTAACTCTGACAAAAAACTAAATAAGAAATAAGCAATAAATAAAAAAAAACAAACACAAAAAACCCCAAAAAACCACTAAATCATATTTTTGAGGACCATGTCTTTTGTTCCCAGGCAGCCACGTGTCAACTGCAACTTCAAAGGTGGCAACACCAACCGTGGTCACCTTGCTGGATGCTGCCAATTCCAGTGATTACCCGTATGAGTACTTGGACGAGGAGGATTACATGCAGTATGGCCTCTGCACCAAAGAAGAGGTACTCTCCTTTAGCAGAGTATTCTTGCCATCTTTTTACACTGTGGTCTTCCTGGTGGGCTTGGCCGGGAATGTCCTCCTGTTTATCGTCCTCGTTATGTACATCAGGAAGAAAAAGAAGATGACGGAGGTGTATCTGCTGAACCTGGTGGTTTCAGACTTCTTCTTGCTATTAACCCTTCCTTTTTGGGCTCTGTACATTTCTCAGGGAGTGACCTGGGGCATGTTGTGCCCAGTCTTAAATGCCACGTACATTGTGAATTTCTACAGTGGTATCTTTTTTGTGAGCTGCATGAGTCTGGACATGTATCTGCAGATAGTTCACGCTTGTTCTCCTCGCAGCTCCATGACACGGAAGAAGTCCATCCTTGTCTTGTTGGTGTTATGGGTCCTTTCCATACTTCTCTCCATTCCTGATGGCCTCTTCACCAGCACAAGGCAAATGCACAACGAAACCATCATGTGCACCCATGATTACGGCCAGAAACACTTATTTTGGAAAATTGTCTTTCGAGTCATTCAAAACACCCTGGGTTTCCTTTTTCCCTTCCTCTTCATGGTGTTCTGCTATTCCCGCATAGCGTGTGTCCTCACCACGTCTCGGATGCCTGGCTCAAGGAGAGCACTCTTCTTAGTCTTTACTCTGGTGGGTGTCTTCTTTGTCCTGTGGTTCCCTTACAACGTTGTCCTCATCCTTCACTCCCTGCAAGACGTGGGTGTGATCAGGAGCTGCGAAAGCAGTAGGCGGTTGGACTACGCCATGCACATCACGGAGAGTTTGTCCTTTGTCCACTGCTGTCTCAACCCTTTGCTCTATGCTTTTGTGAAAAAACGATTCAGGTTATATTTACAGAAGCTCCCCCAGGCCATTTTCAGAAGAAGAGCTTTCTTTGAGGTCCAGCCCTCGGAGACAAGCCAGTCTTGCAGCAGATACGCAGCTGAGATCGAAATGTTGAGTATCACAAAAGCATGATGAATATTTACGTTATTTACATTACCTGTAAGCTCTCTATGCTGATCCTGGCCACGCAATGGGGTCGGTGTGAGCCCAAAGCACTGCATAACCAGATATTTCATTCTAACGCCAGCACCAACAGGATTTTCCATGTTGGGATTGGAAAAGTATTCATGGGATTTGTTTCTCCTAGAACTGGAATTATTATAAAAGGATTGCCCTGGGTTTGTGCTCGTGGAAGAAGCCCAGCTCCTGTCTGGACTATGTGAGGCATTAGTGGATGAAGGAGCAGCTTATCTAGATGTTGTGCCCTTAAAAATGGAACTGAAACTCGGGCAGAACTTCTCCCCAGTAGATCCCAAAGGTCTGATGGAGGAGAGTGATCCCATTATCCCTCCAGCTCGTGGTGTGGGCTGGGGAGTGAATTTGCCATGCTCATCCATCAGGCTAGACACAGGTGGCCAGAAGCCCAGCCTGTGGGGGTGGCTTTGCTTCTCCTGGCTTTCACCATCTGCTGGGTGGATGTGTTCAACCAGGCTCATCCCTTTCTTTACCAGGAGAGACAACATTTGGCACCTTTAAACTGGGTTTTCAGACCAATGATGGATTTCTCCTTGACAATGAGTTGTGCTGCACTCAGGTCTGCTGAGCAGGAAACTGTGTCTTTCCAAGGGACAGATCCTTGGTTAAGAGGATCAGTTCAATCATCAACCAATTTGAGATCAGTCGAATCAGCAGCAAAGTTCAAACAAGTTGGAATCAGGGAGAAAGAGAGAAAAATGGGCACAGCAGAATGGCAATGGAGGTATTGGCCTTCCCAAAGATCTGTTTTGACAAGATAAAAAAAAAGATCCATGGATACTGTCTAATATAGATACTGGCTTTGCAACACTACAGTGAGAGCATGGCCCTGACCAGAAGGGCACGGGTAGCTGTTAGCCAATCCTTTCACCCAGTGTAGGTTTACAGTTCAAGGTTATTAGTTTGCTGACCTTTATTCAAAGATAGTATTCATCTCAAATACTCTGGAACCTTAAATGAACCCTTTCCAGCCTGGAAACCTATTAAGTGTGGGAGTTGCCTAGAACTGTACAAATGAAATTAATAATTCAAGAGAAAATGGCCCATCATCTTAATTTTATTGTGAGACAAGGTCACTGGACCAAGAATGGCTTTGAGTTAGAAAGGTGATTTGTTTTCACTGCTATTATTTGTCTTGCCAACGTTGCTACAACGGGTTTCCAAAATGGTATGGCTGGGAGCTTTCCTTAATAAAACAAAAAAGCCAAAATGATGCTACGATGTGGCCTTTGCTCCACGGGTCAGGTCACTGGGAGGGAATGGGGAAGGAGAGAGCAGCTGGGAAGCAAAAAAAAACTAAGATGAAGATTGTGATCCCATACGGAGGAGGGCTCATGGGACTGTGCAAAACTCATGATGGGATGCTCAGGGGAAGGGCAAAGGTGGAAGAAATAGCAGAGGGAGATTATTCAGGGGGGATTGGGGAGGAAGAAGGGTGGGAAAATAACAGGGGGGGTATAAAAGGGGCTGTTTGTGTGTAAACAGAGTGCCCTGTGCCTGGTCACAGAATCACAGAATCTTCTAGGTTGGAAGGGACCTTAAAGATCATCTTGTCCAACCATCAACCTCACTGACAAAAATAGACACCCACACAACAAACAAGGACAGACTGGTCACGGCAGTCTGTCCTGTCTCCTTATTAAAACCTTCTCCTTAACTCTCTTTCCATATGTCACTCTCTATCCTACATGTGGGTGTTGGGAGGTCCAAGCACCAGGGATTGCGGTCACTGGGTGCATAGATCAGGGTGACATCACCCCGGGTCACAGTGCCAGATGGGGCATGGGGGCCCTGGCAGCATCCCCAAACCCCATCCAGAGAGTGGGGAGCAGGGGAGATCAAGAAACAGAAGGGGAAAATGGGGAAAAATGCCAGCTCCAGGGGTGGGAGCAAGAGGGCTGAGGGTTCTCCACTGGCTGGAGGGGACACGACTGATTTTCAACAGAAGAAAGTGCTGTTGTCCTTCTGGGTGCTGCTCCTTTCCAGGAGGTGGACTTGGTGACATGCAGATGTTGAACTCATCTAATGCAAAGCAAATGGACCTGATTCAAGCCCTCATCACCCGTGAGAAAAGCAGAACTGCTTTGCTTTGTCCTCGTGTGGGTTAGCAGTGCTTGCACTCTTCGCCGGCAATGCACTTAACGAGGCATTGGGAATTGGAGAACATCAAAATGTTCTGATGTTCTTTCCTTCTCCTGGCTTTTGAGACCAAATTAACTCAGCTGTAACCCCGTTTTCCCCTGTTCTGAGCAAATTTCCAGTAGCATTTCACACATCCTCTCTCTGTTTTTTTCTCAGCCTGCAGCACGCCTCTATAACCTGGTCTGAAAGGCAGAAATCACTGAGTCAAATGCTCTCAACCCTCTTTTTCAAAAACGTGACCCCCCCGTGCAGCCTGGAAAAGGGAATTTGCTTAAGCTGCATCCACCTCACGCAGCAGCCCAGTAACTCCAACTTGATTAGAACGTACCTTCCACCTTAAAAATTTCTGGCGGTTGGTCCAGGGAGAAGTCCACAGCGGAGCGCCCTGCGGGGGAAAGGCAAACACTTGCTGCCAATGGGGACAGAGGTTGTCAGCCACACATCTGCACGTGGGCATAAAAAGCACCCTCCTGCCCAACCTGTCTCTAGTCCAAGCTCCCGGTTGGGTGCAGAGCTCTCATGGCGCTCTGGGTGACTCTCCTCTGTACCTTGGTAGCGTCGCTGCTGGGTGGGCTCTACCTCCTGGGTGTGTTTCGGAGACGGAGACCCAATGAGCCCCCTCTGGACAAAGGTACAATTCCCTGGCTGGGTTACCTGCTGGATTTCAGAAAGGACAGTTTAGAGTTTCTAAAAAAGATGCAGAGGAAACACGGGGATATTTTCACGGTGCTGATCGGAGGCCAGTACTTCACCTTCGTGATGGACCCCTTCTGCTTTGGAGCCATCGTGAAGGAATCACGGTCTAAACTGGACTTTAGGACTTTTGCATCTAAACTGGTCCTGCAGGTTTTTGGCTACAAGCCCATCGAAGCCAACCATAGCATCATTCATGCATCGAGCATGAAGCATCTGATGGGAGATGGACTCACTGTCATGACACAGGCCACCATGGAGAGCTTTCAGAAGCTGATGCTTTTCAGTCTGAGCTCAGGAGAGGAGAAGCAAGCGTGGAAAGAGGATAGCCTCTTCCACTACTGCTACAACATCGTCTTCAGAGCTGGGTACCTGGCTCTGTATGGCACGGAGCCACACCAAGGGGCAGATAGCAAAGAGAAAGCTAATGAGCAAGATCTCATCCACTCCAACCAGCTGTACCATGAGTTTCGGAAGTATGACCGTCTCTTCCCTCGCCTGGCCTATGCCGTCTTGCCCCCCAAGGACAAAATGGAAGCTGAACGTCTTAAGAGGCTCTTCTGGAGCATCCTGTCTGTGAAGAAATGCTGTCAGAAGGACAATATTAGTGGGTGGATAAGTGATCAAAACCAGCTTCTGGCAGAAAACGGTGTCCCCGAGTACATGCGGGATCGTTTCATGTTTATGCTCCTCTGGGCATCCCAAGGGAACACAGGCCCAACTGCCTTCTGGCTCCTCTTTTACCTAATGAAGCACCCAGAAGCAATGAAGGCTGTGAGGGAAGAGGTGAATAAAGTCTCAAGGGAGAATGGCCAGGAAGTGAAGCCGGGCGGCCCACCAATTAACATCACCAGGGAGATGTTAAACCAGACTCCAATTCTGGACAGTGCTGTAGAGGAGACCCTGAGGCTGGTTGCAGCCCCAATACTGGTCAGAGCTGTCCTCCAGGACATCAGCCTGAAGACGAGCAGGGGGACAGAGTACACCCTGCGCAAAGGAGACAGGTTGGCTCTGTTCCCCTACCTCTCCGTGCAGATGAACCCAGAAATCCACCCTGAGCCTCACGAATTTAGGTACGACCGCTTCGTCAACCCAGACGGCACCAAGAAAGATTTCTACAAAAACGGGAAAAGGCTGAAATACTTCAACATGCCTTGGGGGGCAGGAGTATCCATCTGTCCCGGGCGGTTCTTCGCTACCACTGAAATTAAACTGTTTGTGTTCTTGATGCTAAGTCACTATGACCTGGAGCTGGTCAACAGAGAAGAGACCCCAGCCATAGACATCAGCCGCTGGGGATTCGGGACCATGCAGCCCGTCCGTGACGTTCGGTTCAGATACCGGCTACGCTTTTAATTTGGGAAGTCTTTGTGGCACTGTTTGTTCTGGTTCTGTGACATAAATTGTGTGATCCCATGTGATGAATTGTCCGGTCCGCGTGGCACCGACACTCGTACGGTCTTGTTTGCTTAACTGTTACCATGGTTTTTCTCTTTACTCCTTCACGTGTTATCAGTGCTCTGTCTCTCTGGCTATTGTGGTGTTGAGTTATGTGATAAAAGCTCCTCTGCACACCCAGTGCCTTAATGACACGTTTATTTTCTTCCTTTGGCATGAAGTATCGTTGGCAGGAGGACACCAGCTTGCAGTAAACCCCTGATAGATCAGACAACAAATACCCTCTCCACAGACATAAAAATTTCCTTGAGGTTTTCCAATTGCCTTGCCCGTAGTCCCCTTTTTGTATCTGATTAAAACATACCCCTGTGAGGTCCCCAAAGGGAGCCAGGGTGGGATGTCTTGAGTTAAGGACACACTGACAGCTCATTCCCTGTTCACCTTTAAGAAAAGGAGAAATCTTGCCAATCTCATTGACCACATCAGTGGGAGGAGAAGGGAGGTGCAAACATCAGGAATAATCTACGGTATCCTATGAAGACAGGCTGAGGGAGCTGGGATTGTTCAGCCTGGAGAAGAGGAGGCTCCGGGGAGACCTTATAGCGGCCTTTCAATACCTGAAGGGTGCCCATAGAAGAGCTGGGGAGGGACTCTTTGCCAGGAAGGGTAATGATAGGACAAGGGGAAACAGTTTTAAATTGGAAGAAAAAAGATTCAAATTAGATCTCAGGAAGAAATTTTTTACTCTGAGGGTGGTGAGACACTGGAACAGGTTGCCCAGAGAAGCTGTGGCTGCCCCATCCCTGGAAGTGTTCAAGGCCAGGCTGGATGGGGCTTTGAGCAACCTGGTCTGGTGGGAGGAGTCCCTGCCCAGGGCAGGGGGTTGGACCTCGATGATCTTTGAGGTCCCTTCCAACCCAAACCATTCTATGATTCTATGATTCCATAATCATTTTCCCGTATCTATGAAAACCTTTCCAGAGCTGCAGGAAGCTCTGTGTTTAAGCCCTGTGTCTTGTGTACAGTTTCTGGGGATGAAAAAAGCTCCTCCCTGTGTGTGTCTGGATTCACCCCACCAACTATAACACAGCTGGAGTGTGGGTACGTCCAGCTGAGTCAGGGTACCCCACAGCTCCCCGTTTCAACCCAAAACATTGCACAAGCCTAGAAACTACTCTCCATGATGAGTCTGTCCTCCTTCGAGGGGATGGCTGGCTGGGGTGCCGGTGCCTGAGCCTTGGTGAGGGGCAAGCTCCCAGAACCCGGCTCCTGCTTGAACCTGATTGAGATCCTGATGGTCCTCCACACTATCCTCAAGTCCCACGGGCTGATGGTGTCCAGAAGATGCTCATTGGAAAGTGCCACACCACACCACCCACCCCTCCAGATTTAGCCCCCATCTTCTGTGAAGGCCCAAGAAGGCTGTAAGGAATGGGATGGGGTGATGGGAAGGGGCTAGAAAACCCAAGTAGGACATGAGGAAACAACCTCAATCCCTCTTGGGCTACAGCCACTGTGATTTTATGAGACCCTAAACACCTCTGTTTTATCCACTGGCTCCAAAACAGGATAAAACTTTGCTCTACAAGCTCTACTCTGGATTCTCTCTCCCTCCCCCCCTCCCCAACTTCAATAATAATTATTACTATTAATAATTATTGGGTTCTGACAACATCAGTCCTTGCAGAAGTCACATCACAGCCTTACCTGTGCAGAGGACAGCAGATTGATTTGAATGCTGACACTAACCTTGGACTTTGGAGATTATGCGTGACCGAGGACTGAAACTCAAAACACTTTCATGTGTGTCCAGGCATCAAAGCCAGGTTCTTCTTTCTTCTGCAAAGCACAGGGTTATGTTGTAACTGCATGTTCAAGGGTAAGCTGTCCCATATTGCCAGGACTGGGCATTAGCCCAGACCTTGCAGTGGTGGAAATTCAAGGAGACATCAAGCAGCTGTAGAAGAGCCAAGGAAAACAAAACCTACCTGTAACTGCACAAGGCTTAGCTGTGTCAGTTCATATTCCCATTAATAAATCCAGCACCTTTTCACAAGTTCCACATTATAGCTCTCACCTCTTTATTTTTTTTGTCAGCTGTAGGTTCTTTGTTTGCTCTGCTACTGAGAATGAAGCTGGAGCTTTTCCCGCGTTCTGGCCAATGGGTTGATCTTTGCAAGCTCCAAACCATGCCTTGGGCAGGTCAAAGCCATGGTGACATCCTGGCCAAGTGATGTCCTCGCTCCAGGGCCAGAGAAATTTTCATGTGGGTGGTTTGCCTGAAGGTCATTCTGTGTTCATACACAGGGTTTATTTGTGATTATCGCTTATAGGGGCAGCAGGCTAGAGTTGAGGGATAAGGGACAGGTGCTGCACAAACACGGACTGGTTTCAGGGAAAAAAAACATATATGAAAAGAATGACAATGACAATGATTCAGCAGAAAAATCTGATTTACTTCCTTGACAGAGTGGTTTATTTAACCAAACAGTATTGAGTCTATAAAAGACTTCAGACATGCTCAAATGCATGCAGTTCTGAGAAGCAAAAATAAAATAAAATAAAATAAAAATCACTTCATTTGAGTCATATATGGAAGAGTGAAAGCTCCAAATGAGTTAATCTGCAATTCAGTTTGATGCTTAGTTGGGTTGTCCCCTGGCACTGAGCTTTCCATCCCAAAGTGTACCAGCAAGAGTGAAGAACTAACCTGTGCCAACAGAAACCTTATTGGATTTGTAGAAGGAGTTAAATTGGAAGGAATCCAGGGTCTTGAAAAATTCCTTGGAGGGGGGTGGCAGACCTCATCGCAGCGTCTGTCTTGTGTAAATCTTTTGTCCCCCCAAGAGAACAGAGCATGGAGCCTGGCCCTAACGCCTTGGTTTTGCATGAAGACAATCTTACTTGGACATTCAAAGCTTTTCAGTCTCTTGAGTCAGTGTCTGCTCTTCACAGCCCAGCAAAAGATTCTCTGCTCTCGGTTACAATCCCTGCTCTGCACATCGTGCAAGGAGTCACGATGCTGCACGCTTCAGGCTCGGAACAATATGGGTTAAACATGTTGGG